CTGTGTGAAGCACGCACAGAGCCGGGTGTTCAGGCCTGGGAATCCATCAGCAAAAGCAAAAGCAGACACTGGGTGCAGAGCAGTTTGGGGAAACAGGCGCACAAGTGGAGCTGAGCACAAATCTCCCCCTGCTCCTGCTCAGGAAGGGCTGGCTTTTATGGAAGGAGAGAAAAGTATGGGAAAAAAAAAATAAGAAGAGAGATGGAACTGAAGGGGAGGATTCAGTTGAGGTTTTTTCTATTCAAAAGTCCTGAATTTAATCAATTCTAACAAGAATTATTTTGGAAAGCCCCTAACCACTGCAGCACAAGGCATCAAAATGGCTTTTATACAGTAAAAGCAAGGGGCAGGACGAAACAGCTGTCAGAAAAAGCCATCAGATTCCCTTCTGCACTGTGTACAGAGGGATAAACAAGAATTTATGGGTGGAAAAAATCCAAAATAGAAGGAACATGAATTGCATGTCCCTTGATACCTTCCAAAAGGAAATGGCCCAGAGAATGGGAAAACTGTGTAAAAATATCTCCCCACTAAGGAGAACTCAGGCTGTGCTTGCAAACAACTGAACTGTGTGAAGAAGTTTGGGGCAGGCTGTGGAAGCCCAGAGCTTTTGTGCTGAGGTGTTGCTGCTTAGCTTGAAACCAGAATAAGAAAGAAGACGTGCTTTACGCAATAAAAGCAGGAAAAGAGCTGCCTTGCTTCCCATCTCCAAGTGCCACAGTGCAGGGCTGAAGCAACACTTCCCCATCTCCCAGAATATGTCAGCAACATGATTTTAAGTATCAGAGAGGCACAGGCAGTGAGGCTTGGAGAAATAACTCTGGTCCTAAGGAATAATGGAAACAAGGCAAGAAATAGGGCTCATTTTGATAGTGCAAGTTGCAGACAAAGTATTCTACCAGCTGACATGAGATTCTTCTTTTTTTCTATCATTCTCTGCTCATCTTGCTTTGTTTTGGGTTCTGTCTTACTGTGTATACCTTAAGCTCCCTTTCTTTGACTCAAGTGTGTTCATATTGTTGTTTTCTCTCACATTGCCGCTCCAAGAAACGATAAATAAGGAAGGAAACAGTTGCCTAGGATGACCGTAAGCTGAGCTTTGTTAACATTGTGTGACCACGCAGATTGCCTCGAACCTGAGCACAGTTTATAGCACTGATACAGACTTTAAATAATGGTTATATGTTAGATTTTCCTTCTGAAAGTGAGGCCTTGAGTTTCTTAGTACAAAAGAAAGAGAACAAAACTAAGAAATGAAATCAAGATAAAACAGAAACACACAAAGCAACCACTGGCCACTGGTGTTACAGAGATTGTTCCTTCGTTTATTTTTTGCAAATAAATCACTGTAGAGAGCAGTGCAGTAATTATAGCCTTCAGAAATGGCTCAGGTTTTTCCCAATAGACAAGCATGACAAAAAATAATAAAAAATATTTTTTACTAACACAGCTGGTGTTCAGATGAAATTATGTGGTTAGCTTTGAAACAGTATTAAAAGAGAAATTTTAATTAACCTGTACCATGGAGTGAGAAGATAATATCTGACGCATATAACAGGCATACAGACAAAATATGATAAAATAATTATTTGCAATTAGATATACGCATTACAGACAATGTTGTAATTAAAATGTACTTAATGTCACAGGAGGTCCTTTATTATCAAAATTGTAGAAGGACTGTGGAAACAATGTGTGATGACTACACTTCCCTCTGAAAAAATAAAAAAAATCCTCAAAATCTACCAAGATCCCAAAGTGTTTCCTACAGCACTTCTGTTTTGGGTGCTGGTGTAGTTGAATGGCTGCACACCTCCAGCGCAGTGGTGCCACAGGTGCCACCAGGCCATTGCTGCTCCCAGAGCACTGCAGTAGGTGGGGTGAGTGCTGTCTGCTGTGGCCCCCAGTCCTGCTGTGATGTCCAGCAGCATCCAGGGGCCCACAGCAGTTCCAGTTGCCAGATGCTCCCACCAGGCCCGGCGTATTGGTGCTAACGAGGGGCTAGGCAAGCCTCTCCCTCTGATTAACGTTGCCTCATGCAGAGCCACCCCACTGCCATTTGGGGGCTGCTTCCTACTTCTTGGGCTGACTCTGAGCTTTTCTCGTGGCCGCTGTTTGGATTTGTGCCCTTGCAAAATTCCTCTTGAAGCAATGGATTCTCTGCCCAAAGGAGAAAGGAGCCTGGGCTCATTCCAAGGTGTGTGGTACTCAAGTGGCACATCACTCTGGGACAGACGGATAGTGGCATTCAACCATGATTAAGTTAATGTTTCTTTATGGAAATACTTACTTTGTCACATCATAAATATTAAGCAAAATTTCTGCAAAAGGTATTAAACTGAAGGAATGGCTTGAGGGGAACACTCGCCCCCCCACGTCCCCCCTCACCCCCCCCCCGGTTATAATCTGATGCTTCTTTATCTCTCCCAGGCTTCTCCACTTCCTAGCATTCAAAAGAACAAAGAAAATGTGCCAAAGCTGCTTTGGGATTTCAAGGAAAAATAATGAGAATTCATTGCTAATTAGGGTTCCAATTAAAAAAAATATATCTTTGAAGGGACACTGTTAATGAACTTCTAAATTACAGCTGCAGACTTGCATCCCTATCAAGATCACTGAGGTTTGATTCAATTTGGATCTATGAAAGCAGCAAGCGGAGGATGCATATGTATGGGCTGCAGCCACCACTTGGCCCCCATAGCAGAGTCGAACAGCCCCTGCTGCTGTGGGCTGCCTCGCCTGCATTTTGGGCTCATTGGAGGTATGCACAGCATACCAATGATTGTGGTGTACATTGCAAAATTGCCTACAAAAGCTCAGTGCCACTGGAGGAGTCTCCCTGCTCTGCAGCAGTGCATGGTGGCTTCCAACGGCTGCAGACAAAGTGGGATATGCTCCAGCTCCCAGGCCAGGCATTCCTGCAGGGGAATAGACAGAAAAGTAATAATTTGGGGGGAAAATCACTTTATTTTTGTGCAGTTGCAAGCTCAGGTAGGAACCAACCACAGCCAAGCAAGGCCTTCACCCAGCATAGCAGCTGCTTGTGTGATCCTTCCTACTTTATTCTCCTTCATTCCCTTTTGCCAGGGGCACATCGCAGGGTGCCTTGTCCCAGCCCCTACTATCCCCTTTCCATCACAGGAGAGCTTTTTCTCCTGGGAGAAGAGCACTGAACATTGGAGGGCAATTAGCAGTGGGTCTGAAACACACCTGAAACCAGATCAGAGGCTTTCTGGCCACAGGTGGCAAAACATGGATAAGTTCCATGTTAATTGAGCACATTTCCCTCTAAACTAACACTGAATAGAAGCACACAGAGGTTGGTATTGGCAGGCAGCTCTGAAGATGCCCCTTCCAAGCCCTGCTGCAGCCCACGCATGGAGCAGGTTGCCCAGGACCATGCCTGGCTGCACTTTGGGTGTCTCCAAGGCTGAAGGTTCCACGGCCTCTCTGCACAACCAACACCAGCATTCAGCCACTGTAAAGAAGTTTGTTCCTGTGGTTAACTGGAAATTCCCATAGTTGCCTGGGCATTTTCCTCTCTCCCAGGGTTTGAAGAAAGTCACAATGATGGAAAGAAAGGAAAGAGAAGAATACCCCAGGCTCTTGGGTAAGAGCCTCTCCCAAAATGAAACACAGCTAAACCATCAAGGGATCAAAGTGAGCAAGGACACGGTACCAAGCTCTGCCCTCACTGAGGCAGTATGTGCAGAGCAAGGGCATGAAGTGCAGTGTGACCACAGGGAGCAAAGGAAATATTTCATCACTGTTCCAGTGACTTGTGGAAAACGGACTCCACAATCAGTAAGACTGTAAAGTAGGTATGTTTATTCAGCTCTGGGGGGTAGTTCCACCAAAGTCATGCGCACCTGACACACCAACTTGCCATAATTATATGCTGTAAAGAGTTACATATGCATGAATTTTCACACTACGCCTATACATATTCATAACCTGTACTTCACATTAAAATTTGTTCCAAGAACTCATTTCCGTAAACACCTCCCATCTGCACTTGCGCAGTGTATTCTGGTGGTGGTCTTCAGGGGTCATGGGGATGAAGATTGATGACTCTTCCTCATCACCGCTAGCTGACCTCTTGTTTCTGTGCAGACTCAGTTGCTCCTTGGCCCTTGTCCACCCACATGACAATTTTCTTAAGATAGGCTCACACTCTTATTAGGAGATTGACCTCAGTAAAGGGGCCCAAGGCTTCTTGCTTTAATTAATTTGAGTATCCTAGTTTCATGCTGTCTATCACTACCTCTACTTGATAAGATTCCCCTAACTTTGCCTCTCAGTTCCCCTTTTGCTAAAAGTTAGTAAATTCTTTTCTAAACGGGTAGTGATTTATTGTATTCTCCTAACTCTCTCTCACCAGAGCCCAGAATTAACTTTTATTGTTCCACCTAGCTGTGGAGATTTTGTTTCTGGTAGTGTAGAACAGCTGATAGCATACATAATGGAGTCATTCAGGGACATCTCTGAATAGAAACTCCTCCCACACATAGAAATACACCTGAAATTTTCAAAGATGGTATGCTCATTGGCCTATTTTAGAAGAAAATAGAGAGAAAAAGGGAGCAAAGCTTATGAAGTTCAAAGCCTTCATAGAAAATGGACAGGAAAGGACACATACATATAAAATGATATTAACATCTCTGAAATAAGAGATATGGTGTTTTATCTATACTATACCAAAGCCCTTTAAGATAACATGGTGCTGTGCAATAGCTGCAGCTTTAGATACTACTTCAGTTTTAAACAATTTTCTAGAGAAAAAGCACAATTCTTACCCATAATATTAGTCTAGTACTTGACAAATTATAGCATATGCTTCTTAGCTATACCTAATATAGAAAAAACTGCATGCTAGGGAAGAAGACCTCATTTTCCTCCTCCACCACACCAGATACACCTGTTCTTTATAATAAGGAGGGGAAGAGGCAGAGGCTTTTAAAGCATAGAGTGAGAGGCAATGACGAGCCTTAATTGTGCTGCTCAGTGCCAGCTGGAGCCCTTGTGGGCCGGGCAGCTCCATTTAGGCCCAGGGCCAGGCCCCCAGTTCCTGGTTTGGGCTGTGCTGTGGTAGCTCTTCTGGTGTCCTTACTCTTCCTTCTGAATGAAGGGGGGAACCTGTGCTGAAGGTAGCCTTTTAATCCTTGTCCTGTAGCTATGCCTGCTGCTTTCACCCCAAACCTCACCTATAACCTCTGGTAGGGGTGGGCCCTAGCTCTGCTTGGGGAGTGGGGGCTGGGCCCAGAGGTGGCTGCTGTGATTGCGCTCTGCTCCTGCAGCCAGCCCCTGGCCTGGCAAAGTCACAAACCTTGGTGGGATGTGGGGACTGTGCTCATACCCTAGGCTTCACGTGAGCAAAATCTTCCTTGTGGTGGCTGCTGGTGGAGGAGACTGGGAGGGAGACATGCTTTGAAAGGTCCTGAAGCACCCCAGAACAGTAGAGAAGTCCAGGGTGGCTGGAGGAGGTGGTCAAAGCTTTCCAGGAGGCCTTTTGAGGAAGAGCTGTGTTAGTGCTTAAAAGTGGCTCCTGAACACATGAATTTGTGTCCCCAGATGCTGTTCCCATCTGCAGAGCTCTGGGTGAAGGCTAGCCTGTAGCTTGTGCTAACAGGTCTGAGCTCATGTTATGGGGGTGTTTTCCTTCTCTTCTGGCAGCTGGAAAGGTACAAATCCCTTTGGCACCTGCTTGGCATCAGCAGTGGTGCTATTAGCATGTCCTTGTCTTGGTCTGGAAGCAATGCACCATGAGCTCTTTCTGGGGTATTGATAAAACAATTACCTGTCTTGGAGTTTGCCCCTTTCTTGTGGGAATCCAAATGAGGCAGTGTCCTGGTGAAAGGCATCCTCAGATGGGCAATGAGATTGCCTGAGCTCCCCAGACTCCTTTGGCCTGATGCACTTGTTTCTAGGATTACCTAACCAATCTTCTGGCAAAGTTTAGCAATAAGAGAAAGTTATTTCCTAATTCTGGGTGCGCAGGTGCACCTGCAGGTGTGGTCTCAGCTAATAATGCTGAGAAGGGATACTAGGAGCCCTGACTTAAGAAGTCTGTATAATCCTTGTTTAAGGAGACAGTTACCTTGGCAGAGGTGGTGAAGCTGCTCCCTCTGAAGGGCATTTTGTCTTCCTGGATGTTGATCTGCCTTAAGTGCAAAGGTAAAACAAAGCAAACAACAAAAGGCACCAAGCCAAAAATCCTTCTGCTGGGAAGTGTCTTTCAAGATGCTTAGGAACAGAATCTGGCAGGAGACTATTTTATGTACGCTGGTAAGTAGTCCTTGCAGAATGTGAGCACAATCACAGGGCTGAAGGCAGTGCCCCAGCCCCTCAGCAGCTGATGCTGGTATCTGCTGTGTGGGAGGAAGGGATTTCAGCATACCTAGTAATTAATGGACAGAGGAAGAAGGATCTAGGTTTTCATGACAACCATAAAACAAAGTATAAATTAAACTCTGCTAGGAAATGAAATTCAAGGAGCAGAAATAGTTTCCTTGGCAAGCTGAGAATAATGCTGGCAGCACTCAGACTGGTTGTTAAGTGAGAGGGCAGAGCAAGGAAAGGATACCAGTAGCTGTGATTATTGTTGCTACCTTAACAAATGTATACAGCCAAGGTAATAAAGTTATGCTTCTAAAACTGCAGCTCCACAGAGTATTCTTTGTATGTACCCCAAGTAAGGGAATTAAGGGCCAATAAAGTCTTGGTATGCATGTTAGAGATAATCTGTCCATGGTCAAAATCTGTTTATTTCAATTGGTCACCAGGACAGTTTTTCCCCTATAAATATGCAGGGTTTTTGCTTTGCATGGTTTAAATGGTTGGTTGCATGTCTTTTGGTAATAGCAGCATATGGTTGGAAAGGGAAAACTTGTAAAGAACAGCTAATTGCTGGGTTCTCAGGTGGTGTAAGTCAGAACTTCTATTAATCTGTCCCCTTACATCAAGGATGTGGGACCTGGTCCAGTTTCCCCGGACATGGAGGCAGAGCTTTGCTCTGGCCCAGGAGGGCACAGGCTCAAGCCTGTGTGAAATGCCTGCTGGAGGAAACTGAGCAAAGAAATGGGAATGCCTGTATTTTGGTTCCAGTCCTAAATCTTTGGCTTGATGACATTTGTCTTGATGAAATGTTAAAGTCTGTGGCTAAAAAAGTACCACATAAGTGAGTAGTTACAGAAAATGCTTTTGCCACAAATGCAAACTGCCAGTCACATTAGGTTTTCTGTGCATCTTCTTGGACTAATGTGAATGTCATGTCATCGTAAGAAGCCAAGACATAACAGAAATACTTTTGCAGTTAAAGTTGCTGACTAAATTATGCAGGCTGCTATTTTGGGGGCAGATAGTCCTTTTGATAGGCATGACAGGGCAGAGATCCTTTAACAGCTCTCTCTTTAATAGCTCTCCTTACTAAAGCATGTTGAAGGTGTAGGTCCCACTGAGCTGGGTGACCCTTGCTTTGCAATCTGGGAGTAAAAATAAGTTATCTCATTTATCTCATCCGTGTAGAAGCTTGTCTATACCAAGGTGAAGTGTAATCCCTTGAGGATACAGTTCTGCATATGTTATTTTTCATATGCAGTTCCTGTGTTACCAGACTCCAGCACAAACCCTCTCTTCCTGCTTGCTCCTCATCCCCTTAGTGGATTTCCCTTTTTCCCGTTGAAGCTTGCTCTTTCATAAGCTTTCAAGCTATTCTGGAGAAGTTTGCCCAAAAGGATAGATCATTCTTAAACATACCTCTCTACTTAAGAGGATCTTTGCATAAATACAACACAGGAATTGCCATCTGTTCATGACTTTCACTTGCATCACGAACCAGGAATATTATTTCAGCCAAATCTTTGCTGTTTATGTTCTAGGATGAGCTGCAAAGATGGAATGGCAAACAGATGCAGCAGTCTGCATGTGGAGCCCATCTGATTTTTGGGGGACTATTGCATTTAATCCCAGGATTAAACTGTCTGAAGGTTGGTGTTACAATGCCAGTAAGTATTGCCATGGCAGAAAGCTGATTTAAGGGCCTCTGGATGATAAATCTGTGGCTGAGGAACAGAATGAATGAGTGCCTCTGGGCTGGGTGCATTTCAGAGCACTGGTGATATTGATGAGGGTGTGGGAGCTCACACAGGATGGCTCTGTGTGTTAATTAACCTCCTGCTGCTGTGGGTTTGCTCAGCTCATGTGGTGCTATGACTCTGAGATGCTGTGCCCCCTGGCTTCTGACTAAGCAAAAAGCTTCTGGTAGATTTTAGGGCTGTTGTAGAATCTGATGACCACAAATTTACTAAGGTATCTTAATTGCTCTGGAGGAACCAGATTCCCAATGACAGACCACAGGACAGATGTAGGCTGTGTTTGTAGAGTTAATAGAGGTAAACATCCAGCACAGAGTTCTTAGGTTTCTTGTAAAATTAAGCCAAGCAAAAACTGCTATTTAAGTACATGAAAATTCCCACCCTACCTCTAGTTTCAAGCCCTTAAAATGGCTCCATCACATGGCATTAGGACATTGTGCTGATTGCAGCGATTTCTTGAAATCTGGGAACTGGGTGCCAGAAAATCTCTAGGAATGAGTTGGGAGTGTTCAGGTTTCATCCATCAGCAGCAATGGGTTCCATGAAATCTGACCTCACTTCCTGCAGCCTGACGTTGCCCAGGTACAGGACAAATTGAAGTGTGCCTGTTACATTTATGCATACTTGCAGAGCTTGGCAGGAGCCCTAGTATTCAGGCTGCTCCTCAACACTCAGCCATTTTTTTAATTATTTTTTTTTTACTGTGGGCCCTCACTGCAGCATCAAACATATACATATATTTATATAAATATATATATAAATTTTATATATAAATACTATATGTGGAAATTTGGAAAAAAAAATACTGAGTTTTGTTAGAGTTTGGTCAGGTGCTGTTCTTATATCTGATGTGTACACTGTCCTGAGGTCTCACTTCAGCATGTGGTTAAGTGTTGTCTGTGACTGTTCAACTTCAACATGCAACCAAGTACAAACACAAGTACGTTGTGTTTGTGCCTCACTTACAGCAGTTTGCTGGTTGTTGGACACCAGTGTACTAACACTTAGATGTGTCTCTTTAAAACAAAATAACCTCCCTGAAAATGGACAAAGACAGACTACTTTGCTTATGTAGTATCAACAGGAGCATCTTGCCAAAAGGGGGAAAAAAAACTGTACCTTATTCTAAGTTAAAATATAAAAACAGGTATATTCTGCTAAATTCTGGTATTATAGAGTGGAGTTGGAAATTCTGCTACTTTTAAGGAGAAACTAGGTGAAATAAAGTAGGCTCTCATGTGCTATTGGGACTGCATTTAATGGTGTTCAATGATTAACTTTATCATGGAATGGATACACACATTAACTTCTCAGATACCAAAAAGTATTGGGCTTAACTGAAAAAGTAATTTTTCACTTCTGTTGTTTCTTTTTCAAAAGGAAAGCTTTCAATCACTTAGAGTATTTCACTTTTAAAAACTGAATATAGACCTTCAAGATTTAAGAAGCCCAGCTGAATATTTTCCTATTTTTTTTAGTGTGAGATTTTCCAGTGTTTAAAAAAAAAAAAAAAAAAGCATGCACTTTGTTTTAGGATATTTTTAGCTGAATATCAATGCAAGGGTCTGTCCTGGGAAGCAGAGCCCTGGGGAGGGAATGGAGTAACAGCTGTTTTTTTTTTTTGTTTGTTTTGTTTTGTTTTGTTTTCTTCCCAGTCATAAAAACAATCCTTCAGCTTTTGCTATGGCCCTGGGTGACCTGGCTTGGGTGCTCCTTGGTCCAGTCCAGCCTTCAACCTTCTGCCTTCTGTTTCTGCCTTGGCTCTTCCATGCTGCAGGGGCAGCTTCTGCCATCTCCTCTGCTCCCAGCAGGACCTCATCTCCCCGGGGCAGAGAAAATGGGAAATGGTTAATTCTCATGTGGAGAGCCTGCAAAAATCAGATCTCTGCTCAGTCACTTGTGCAGCCGGAAAGACTTCAAATTTTGTTTGTAGTGTAAAAGACTCTTAACTGCCTGCTTTTGTCCGTACCACTGCAGTATACTGTAATTTGAATTACTGTTTGGTTTTCTGTGCTACAGTTGCTGGCGGCTCCATACAGAATCCTGGTTTTAATGTTCATTTGAATATTTAATTACTCTATAATAGCACAATAATTACTGTGTAGCTACAGAGGAATTGCATGGCTGTTTGTACTCTGTAAACTAGTGTTGACCTCATCTGCAAACAAATAATTATGCAGCAAACATACCTGTTTAACTTAAACAGTTATTAGCAGAGAACCAGGAGAAATGTAGAAAGTGCTGTTGATTCTTTCATAATGCCATATACGGAATTCTTTAGTTTCTTGATTTCTTTTACTGACAGAATGTTAGATGATACAAACCAGCACCAGGAAAAATATTTCTATAGCGTTTAATGATGCTAGAGCTACCTCTGATGGCACCATATAAATACGCGGTGCTTCCTAGCCCTTTATTTCTGCAGCTGGCGATTAAGCAAATGGAAATATTTCCAAACAACTTCGTGTGCTCTGGCTGTGTCTCTGCAGTTGGGGGCCTGTTCTAGGAACTCGGAGGAAAACCACAAGGTGGCAATGTGCACAAGGAAATAAAGCCGCTCAGATCTGCCTGGAAGCCACAGCACTCAAAGATGGAATTACTCAGCCTCGAGATCTAACAGAGCTCCTGCGTTACAGGAGCTGGGGTAGGATTTCAAGCATCTTTTCCACTTTAGAAGGATTTTAACTAAGAGTATATGTAATGGAAAATATCTCTGTAGTGACTGCTTTGTTTCATGCTGGTGGATATCTGCAGTAAATGTTTCTTTCCTTTAGGTTCAGATGCTCCCCAGTGAGTACTGGGGAACATGTTTTCTTGTCACCAGTCCCCTGCCTGGTGATCTGTCCTGGTGCACCTGTCCATGCTCCAGGCATGGGGATGCTGAGCACCTTCTTGACCCCCTGACACCTTTCCCATCCCTCCCTTGCTCTGGGTTATCCTGGGCTGCAGGAGCGGCCTGTGCCTGCCTCTGACTTCTGCACACATCGAGTGGGTTGCTGAGAAGGGACGGGCAAAACAGTGCTTGGACTGCTTTGAGGAAACCTGGCTTCCCTGATAGTGCCCCTCTGAGGTGAGGGCTCAGACCTCTGTGTCTTGATGCCAGACTGAGAAACAGCAAAACCTACCCTGTTTTGGCTTGTTAGAAGATGTATATGAACTGCAGGGAATTCTGAGATCAAAGCTCAGTGACCACCTTCCTCGTAGGAATGGCTTTTCTTAAGGAAATATGATGCACAGTGTGCTGGTCCCTGTTGCCAGGTCCTTCAAAGCAGGCCTGTTTTATACCCATCCCTGAGGGAAGATGTGTACTTCTCTTCCTGCTTTCTTTTTGGGAGTCAGCTCATCCCTCTGCAGCAGAGACAGCAAAATCATCAGGCTATAACTGTTGCATACGTGCTCCTTGAGGTGCATGCTGAGGTATTAAGGTGTGTTGGTGGGATGTGATTCAGTCTAGTGCAAGGGGGGTGTTAATCTGGCAGAACAAGTGCAGTGAGTTCCTGTTTGCTGATCGGGGGCTTCGTGCTCGCTGTCTGCCGAGCTCTGCCCGGAGGAGCCCTGTGGGGCAGCTGGCTGTACCCGCTGCCCTCCAACAGCAGGTGGCATCGCGGCTGAGCGCCCGGGAGGGAGCTCAGCTTTGGGACTTTCTGGGCATGGTTCCAGGCAATAATATCTTTTCCCACCAGTTGTGACAGATCTAAACTTCACTTCACGTTAGAAGCTTAAAAAGGAACTGTTTTTAAAAAAAAAAAAAAAAATCCCTTTTCTAGCTTGTTTGCAGACCAGCTATCCCCAAAATACCTGTGTAAGGCTTCCAAACGAGAGCATGGGAGCATGTCATCGCTCTGAACCTGGTGAGGACCTGGTGCTTTACCAAATGGACTTCGTGTCAGAGTTGCTGCATGCAACTCTTAATTTACATTTTTGCTGTGAAAAGTCTGCCTTTTAAATCTGTCTCTTAAGACAGTGTTAGTAAAAAAGCTCGGCTCAGCACAGCTCCTTGGTAGGAACAGGTCAAGAGGAGACAAAGTTGCACGCTACCCAATGCATCCATGAGATTTAGCCACTTGATTTTAGACAACTGGGTTGTTTTTCTGTGGATTTACAAGGGTTCCGTTCAGCACAGAAACAGTGAAGATCATGTTCTCTTACATTCATCTGTATCCTGCAGGATAGTAAAGCAGGCTTCAACAGCCCAGATGATTTTGAAATGAATTGCGGAGCTGGGTGGGGAAGTCAGTGGCTCTTTTCTAAAGAATAGAGCCCTTAGTGTCTGTGCTGCAACACTATTCCCCTTTTGTCTATTTGTCTTTAGCTCTTTGTTATGTCAACATCTGTAGTTTTGAGTAAATAGCATAAGGGGAGAATGCATATTGTACTCCTGTTAAAGGAGCGGGGCTGGGTGGGGGCCAGATAACTGTATGAACTGTGCTGCCTCTGTGAAGCAAGGAGGTCGGGAGTAAATGCATACATAGGACTCCCAGAGACCCTAATTTTATGATGAATGATATTGCTTAGTACTTAATTGACTACATCCTTGCCTTGTGCAAACCAGTGTAGCTCTTGTGTCAGTCCTTTGGATGTGTTGGTCCACTGGAGCCAAGTACCTGATGCTTATGTAGCTTCTCTGAAATGTTCATGTCTTTTGTCAGCTCCCTCCAGAAGCTTTTAGCTATGCTGGTTCTTAATTATTAAAAAATATTTTATTTGTATAATTGTGCAAACATTTTATCATGGACTTTAATGTGCTATTGAACACATTTTATCAAGGACTTTAAAATCCTGCTCTACTTGTAGCTAATGCTGCCACCTCTCCATCCTCCCCCCAGCTAGTTCCAAATAAAATGGGCAGAGTTGAAGTCCCAAAGCTAAGGAATTCTGCTATTTTTATGAAAATACATTAGAGGGAGTGAGGAACATGGCTAGTGATGTCTGAATGAAAGGCTGCTGTGTGAATTTAGTTTTTGCAAGACCTCAGAGATGTGGTGTGAGAGATTAAGATGCTCGCTAGCTTGGGTTTACAGAGCAGCGAAATGTCACCCGGCTCCAGGAGGGATTCAGCATGAACACGATACCTTCACCATGTGATTTGCTGTGCGTGGGGAGCAGCTCAATGGTGCTGAAATCAATCCACTAGCAGTTCCATGGACAGGAAACCAATTAATGAGTAGTTCTCATCTGTTTCAGTGCAACCTCGGAGCATGCTTTTCAAAGGAAACGCAAGGTGTCACAAAAAATATTTGCCAAGTAAATATTATGAACTATTAACTGGGCTGCAAGAATAAACTTTAAGATGAGGTCCATCTTCCCCATTTAGCTGTTATTGCTCCCTTTGACCAGAGCCATGATATTAACAGTTGGGATGTGGCAGAAATACTGGACTTCTCAGATAAGCAACTTGCCTTACACTCTGAAGGGCTGGTCTATGCCCAGCAGTGGATGTGGGCTAATCTTCTCTCTCACTGGGTGAGATGGCTCAGGGATCTCTGTGCTGGACTGCCATCTAGCTGCATGCGAAGTGCATACACTTATGAATAAGTGGTTCCTCATCATGAGAACATGGATCTGTTGAGATAAGAGATGATGCAAGCCCACTGAAATGGTGTGGAGCAAAATCAGGATCTGGGCAGAAGCAAAGCGATGTAGAAATAATCTTTCTACTGATGGGGGCTCTGCTGGACTTTCCAATTTGATGTGTGGTGATGCTGGATGTGAGTTGGCTTGTGCTGCACAAGCTTGGTACACTGGCTGGCAGCGTCTTAAGCCCCTGGAAGCAGGGGATGAGCTCTGTGCCTCTTGCTTTACTCGGTTGCTTGCCTCTTCCAAGCCCTGGGCAAAACAAGCTGTCTCTTATGGATACGCTTTTGTCCCATTTGAAGTTATCTGGATGTAGGCTTGTGCTTAGTACTTGAAACACTTATGTATTTTGCTGGATAGAAACAAGTCTAAGAACACTTCGATTTACGCATGTGGTGTTGACTTGTAGCCTTAAATCACGTATAGCAGGAAGAAATCCCAAGAGGGGCAGTTTTCTTTCATTTAGCTTCATTTGGTGCTGAGCAGACCTGACAACATTGCTGTAGTGCTAACAGCTAAGGGAATGGATGTTGGTGCTTGGGAGATGTATTTGTGTAAGTAAGTATGTACATGTTTCAGTATTTGCAGAGAACTTAATTATGTTTGATAGCTAATTAATTTTGTTGTATTTTGACACTTTTACTTTAATATGCTACAAAAGACAGTTCATGAGGGATGGGATTTCCTTCATTTTGAAAGCAGCCTCTACCTGTCTCTTGTTCTCCCATATTCAGAAATGCTCTTTGAAGGTCTGCTAACTATTCTTTTGGTTGCAACCAATTTTTTTTCTCCTCTGGAAGCTTGTCAGTAGATCTTGTTTCCATTGAGCAAAAGGGGAAGACTTTTAAAAGCACAGAGGACTGTAAGGAACCCAATTTCACTGTAAGGTTGGGTGCCTAATTGCCCTTTGTGCCATTAAAAATATGTCTCCATATGTGTTTTGTGTTGTTTGTGGGCTCTTCCCTCCTCACACAGGCAAAAATCAATTGATCAATGTTTGTTACAAAGTTATGAACAAACGTCTCTGGTCTCATTGATGTCAGCCCAGTGTGTTCTCCTTGCTAACAAAATGAGTTGCAAAGTCAGCAGGAGGCTTGCAAGAACACAGAGCGCGGGTTTTGTTTGCATAGCACACAGGGCTGGCCGCTGCTTAAATAACAAATCATCCGTCTATGCTTCCACAGATTTTTTTTTATTTTTTTTTGCATCAGGAGTTGTTTTTTGAATAAAGGGTCATTTGCTGCCTTACTGAGGGAAAACAGTGATGTAAACATGTGGCGGTGCTGCACGTCCCAGCCTGCATGCTGTTTTCTAGCAGACCCACAGAGGCAGGGGCTGTCACAGCCTGGGTCTGAGCATGCTGCTGGTTGCCCTGGGTCATGCACCAGCAGCTGTGGGACCAGTCTTGGGACGAGGTAGTTTGGTCACAGCTCCAACACGACATGCTGGTGAGCTCTGCACAGAACCAACCCAAAAGCAAACCCTGTGTCTGGGAGTGTTGTCCAAATGCTACTTGAACTCCAGCAGATCAGTGCTGTGCCTGCTGCCCTGGGGAGTCTGTCCCAGTGCCCAACCATCTCTGGGTGCAGAACCTTCCCCTAACCCCCAGCTTGACCCTCCCCTGTCCCAGCTCCATGCCATTCCCTCTGGTCCTGTCGCTGTCCCCAGAGCAGAGCTCAGTGCTCAGGGCTCGTCCTGGTCAGATGCTCTAGCTGAGGCCTCATACCAAAGACTGCTGAAGCAGATTCTGGTCTCTGCAGCAGCCTGTTGCTCATCCAGCAATACTGCTGCTTGGTGCAACACCTCTTATCAATGCTGCTTTATTTAAAGTTGTAGCAATATGTTGTGTGTGTTTGTTTTGTTGTTGTTGTTGTTTTTTTAAGTCCTTTCCTGCTGTTCCAGGTGCTCTCACCTCCCTGCCTGTTTTGAAGCAAAACACGCTTGGAGGGTGAGAAGATGGCTTGCTGGCTGTTCTTCATCTTGCGTTTGCTTACAGTTCGTTCGTGATGAGCCCTTTATCTACTGTACTCCTACAGCTTCTAGCTTTTTTCCTGCCAAATTTTGATCATTAAGTCTGGTAGTATTGACTGCCTTGGATTTCGCTTCACTTATGTTCAACATTTAAAGGTTATTTCTAATATGTGTAAAAAAATAAAAATAAAAATACACTGTATACAAATGACAAGGAACTGTGATTATCACTTCTTCCCACCTTTTCTTCCAACATTTCTCTAGTTTCTGCTCTAACAGCAGGAACCAAATATGTGCAAAATAAAAAGATATATTTCTAATTTATAGGAGTTCTTAAAAGGCTCCTTTAGGTTCAGATTAAACCCTACCACAGGTTCAAGGGAAAATTTAAGAAAATCAATTTTCCCTGGCTGAAAGAGCAAAACCACTGCAGTTTATATAATGTTCTTTGTTACTTGAATCAATACCTCTGTTCCCATGAATGGCTGAATAATCACTTTCTTACATAATGTTAGTACACAGACTTATCTCCTTCAGACTTTGTTGTTGAGCCTGCAGTAAAATATTTTTGATCATTAACAGTTTCTTACTCTTATCCTTGTTTAATTTTTTCCTGTATCAGAATCTTGCTCAGAGCTTGAAATGTGACAATTATTCCCTGCTGTGGCACTGGCATGAAATATAAAACTATTTTTCAAATTAATGGCTTTCCAAGAAATCATAAGAAAGGTCATGCATAACCATAGCTAAATGCAACTTTATTAGTTGCTTTGGCTGTGAATATTTTCAAATTGTCTGTTAATCACTAATGGTGGCAGGAGACATACCTATCGTGTACATAACTGTTTCAGAAGAAACAGCTTGGATAACAATGCGCTTAAGGAAGAGCTGGTTGCTCCTGCTGCCCATCCTGCCCCAAGGCAGGGTGGGTTCCCCTTTTCCTTGTTGTGTTGCTGCAGCACTGTGACGAGCCCCAGTCCCCACTGCAGGAGTGAGGGGGATGTTGGAGCAGGGGCTACTGCTTTGCCGTGACATGGGCATGTAGCTGTCTCTGTTAGTGATGGCAGGACACCTCTAATACCAGGCTTTCTATTGTCCTTAATGTATCTACTGTTTCCTAATTGTAGCATTGCAAATGTCCTTGCAAGGATATGATCTCTTCAGGAAAGAGGTAGGACATGCCTTGGAAAGGGTGACTAAAACAAAAGGATTTTTCTGTTTTGTTTCAGTAACTCATGCTTATTACAGCTTTGTATTTTAAGCATCACCTTTTCCACTTACAAACAGTTGCATTATTAAAAAGATATTTTCGTCTGATAGTAACCTTGGCAGTAGTTGTCAAGGCTAATAGTCTGACATTTCAGATCACCCACAACTAATCATCTGAGCATGGCAACACATTTGAGAAAGCCATTACGGATGCATGGCCACAGCGCGGGGTGTTGCAGCAGCGCTGACGGCTGCCCTGCAAAGTGCCTGATTTTCCTCTGCTGCGTGGGCACGTGGCAGAAAAGCATTTTCGAGGGGCTTGGGAGCAATCCAGACACAAGTGGTAGGGCATGTGTTTGTGGAAAGCTCACCACAGCACTGGTGAGCAGAGCTGCCTCTTCCAGCCCCTGGGAGAGGCTTTCTCCATCTCCTCAGTGGCTCTCACAGGGGGACCTGCCATGGGGGCTCCTGAGCACCATCCTGAGTGACCTGTGGCAGGGATCTCTGCAGCTGTCAGCCTTTTGGAAGCTCAGGGAAGCCCAAAGAGGCCAGCGGTTGTACCCAACCTCCAATATGTGGGCCTGGGAGCCCAAAAGAAGAGAAAACAGGAAGAAATTGCTTTGCCTTGCTTCTTTGGTGCTGGGAAGGCAGAAGGTGCTCAGGATGTTAAAGTGCTGGGGCATGCTCAGCGCTGAGGAGATGGCATTTTGCTCGGGTGTGGGCCAGGCTTGCAGTCAGGCTGAGGGGGGACAAGCTCGGTGCATTTTGGAAGCCACCTGAGCAGCCTCTGGGCCTGGGCTGAGGCCCAGCCTCTGTCAGAGCAGGCAGTGGCCTCAGGCACTTCTCTGTTCGGTGACACATGGCCTGACTCCTGAAGAACCAGTGGGGATGAATGTGAAAGCCCACTGTGCATAGCGAAGAAAAAGCTGTCATAAATCCAAGATTTAGGCAAGAACTTGTCGTGGAGACTGGGTCTTAGCCCTAGTACTTGGCTTGCCCCATCTAGGTCTCCAGCTTTGTCTGGGATGGGGGTGATGGCAAGTTCTTTATCTGCAAAGTTCTCTGAGATGTGCAAGAAGCTGATTTAAGTGGAAACGTGAAGTGGGCTATAGCGT